TTGACCTTGGCTCACTTCTTGATCTCTGATCCTGGTAAACCCTCTGGCTAACCTCTGCTCCTGGTAAACTCTCAGTGCTTGAACTCTGGTCTGACCGTGGCTTCCTTCCTGACCACTGACTCCGGTAATCCCCCTGGCTCATTGTTTGAACTTAGCCTTGACTTTGGCTTGCTTCCTGAACCCCAGTCCTGGTTAGTCCCCTCGCCTGGCACTCAGCTTCTGACTTCTGGCTTCTGACCCCCAGGCATGTAACTCTGATCTGCCCTCTGTTGCTCCCAACTGCGGTTTACCTCTGCAACCCCCAGTACATCCCTGGCTCTACCCACTAGGCCCGATGCCCTGTGCATTGTGATGTTCCTTGACTTCTACAGACTTCTCTTTTCAGACTTATGCTTTTGTCCTGCAAACACTCGCTGCATAGTTGTGTAAATATCACATTCTCTATATGACTCTGTACATTGTTTCTCACCTGAACCTGATTTCAGTGGTGTAGACGGAAACTGTGTGAAGGATAGCATTTCCATGCACAACAGCTTCTGAGGTTTTACACCTGAAATGAAAACATAGTGATCCAAACATTTTAGCAAGATGAAATGATGTCAAATAACTTCAAATTGAAAAAAAACAGGTTTTCAATTAATCTGTGTCTGTCTTCTCTTTCTTTGGTCAAAAAGGACCAGGGGGCCCTAGCCCTCAAAAAATCTTCTGCTCAAAACTTAGTCCAAAATAATGCACCCCAGTGAAGTCTTTACATTATGCTAGAAATAACCTGTACCTCACACTCACTGCCTCTTCACAGAGGATATAATGCAATTAGGTGAAGCCAAATTTGACAGTAACTGGAAAAAAAGTGTGTGTACAATCAAAAGAGGTGGCTGGTTCATATGCATTACTTTTATTCCCAGAAATATTACATTGAATCATTAATAGTAATAATCTCCCACAAATCATCCCTTCAGGCAAAAGCCATAGTTGATTTGAAATCTCTACATGCCCTCGCTATTCAGAGGAATTTGCATATCTCTTCAAACCATGCAAGGAAGTTTCAGAAATTTTATCTTCCCTTTCTTCTGATCTGCGCAATATCCCCAGTTCCAGAAATGCTAATTAGCCTGGCTACCTATCAACACCACTTGCGCATTGTAATTTAGCTGCTCTGACTCCAGGGCACATTAAGAACCTGAGGGTGACTTCAGAATTATGGTTTCATTCATTTCCCTCCCCTTGGCCACAGGAGCAATTGACTTATTAGACCAGGGGTGGGCAATTATTTTGGGCGAAGGGCCGCTTATTGAGTTTTGGCAAGGCATCAAGGGCCGCATGACAGACAGCCGGGACAGATAAATATTAACTTTCTCCATTTTTTAGGGGCACCACAGGCTGGATAGAATAGCCTGGTGGGCTGTATCCAGCCCGTGGGCTGCATTTTGCCCACCCCTGTGTTAGACAAATGCCCCTCTGTGTCCGTGGAAACATGACTCCTAGCTGCTAAGCTATGACCTTGGCATAACCTTATTAGACTTATTATCTGTGGGCAGGATTGCTGGTTGCCTTTAGTCTGTCTACATGACTGCCTAAAGAGACAAAGGCCACCCTGGGGTTCCCCTCTTACCCAGGTGGGTAGGGTGGACTCTGAGATCCTGCTCTGCCCTGCACTATATCAGCTGGGGGGTATCATCCAATCTGCTGCTGGGGCATTTTGGCCCTTGTAAGCACAGCAATGGGGCATTTCCTGTGGATCTGATTGTAGGGCACAGGAAAAATTCACAGGAGCATCTCATGCATCCATGCTGGAAAACCACTCTGAGAACCATGTGGGATAAGGGAAGTCCCACAGTAAACTGGGACAACATGGGCTGTGGGGGGAGGTGGCGCTCTGTATGGAGGAAGTAAGGAGATTTGGGCATTACTGCAGCTTAATGTTGTATCCTGCATATCAGACCTGATCTGCTGCTAGTGCCTAAGCCAGAGTCCCTCTTACTTTGCTGAGAGCATGGATGTGTGGGAGCTGCAGCTGCTGACCTTGGGCTTAAGATCCACTGGTTTCTTTTCCTTGCTTGTATTTCCCACAGAGAAATGAGTCTCTGCCAGGCCAGCATCTGAGGGCAGTGGATTCATCTGATCCAGCTGCACTCATCTCCCACCGCACCCTTCCCCCCTCCCTGCAAACTCCCACCCATGTTATAATGGTGCCCAACCTTTGGGGCAGTGAGCACGGGTGGCTTGCTTTGTGGCTGAACTCTGACATCCCTCCTTGTTAGCATCTGATGCTGAATGCAGCTGTCAGATGCCTGCATCAAGTGAAGGTGACAGCTGGGTTATTGAAGCAATGCCTTCAAATGCTCACAACAGAGCTGAGTATTTTCTTAGTAAAAGGCTGGCACAGCACCTAGAGAAACAGCCAAGGAAGCAGAGGGTTCTGTAGAGGCAATAGCAACCAAGCATTGTGCAGAATACAGATGAGTGCCTCACACCATTCACCCAGCTTCACTGTGCTCCAGCCCACAGTGAGCACAGCCCTGGGAACAGGGCTTGGTCATTGACTGCTTCTGTTGTTGGAGTTCTTGGCTTGGCATATTAAGATGAAGGATTTGCTTAGGCAATGGCTTGTTCTATTCTAAGTACTCACAGCATTGGATTTTAAAACACAGAGGGCCAGTCTGTGCCCCTCTTTAAACTAATGAGCCTTTCATTCTGTGAAGCTGTTTGTTGAGTCAGGTACTGTGCATTGTCTTTGTGGAAAAGTCAGGCCCATCAGTACTCAGAATGCAGATAAGGTTTCTCACCAGTGTTTTTTAGACCTTAATTAAATTACACTACAAGTTAAATTCTAATCAGGGTGCTCTTTGGAGACAAACAAAGAGTTGCGGTAATGAGTAGATAGCAAGCCAAAGCCAGAATAAATAGAGCCTTTTTTACGAGGCTAACTGAAATTCTTGGAAGAAAAATGGATGCAACTTTGGTCTTCTTGCTCAAACAAAAAGAAACTGAAAACACGTTTTAGAGGCTAAACAAAATATTTTGCTTCCTTTTATTGAATGAGAAAAAAGATAAAAAAGGAGCTCAAAAATAGCTAAGTCTAATCTTGAAATGCCATTTTAAACCAAGAAATTGAAATGCATCATTTAGCACATATCAAATATTTCAGGGTTTTGCATTTTTTTAGAGGGTGTAACTATTTGCTAGATTTGGCATGAGTTTGCCACTGGTTTTGGTCTAATCAGACTTGCATTTTGCAGCAAATAAAATATGTGATCAAAAATTCCTCCAGTTTTGCCACTGAAAATGCATATACACTTCTGTAGTCACAGTGACCCATGTATCAGGCCAATAATTTCGAAAACTCCAGCCTGCTAAAATCTTTTGGGACAGACTCTGTTCTACCTATTATGTGCCTAAGGGGACTTAGACACCTCTGTGCAATTGTATTCCACCTTGTTCAAGTCCATGAAAATTCACTAGTGCATCTCTTTCATAACGTGCTGTTATCTCAAGCTGCTGACAGATACTCAAGTAAAGGCACAGTCAGCTGATAAGCACTCCCAACTTTGGAAGCACACCAAAGCACTTCAAGACTGCAATGCTCTCCTGAGGCCAGGAGTGCTGATCAGATGACTGGTACTGTCAGCCATGGGAGTACATTGTAGTCTTGAAGGGCTCCGGTGCACTCCAGAGGCTAGGACCCTAATCAGCTATTTGGCACTGTGGCCACACATTCTTTTTAAGAGATGATGGGAACCAGCCACAAAGGGTGCTGACTGAAGTGCAACTCCCTGCTGTAACTCATGGAGCTTCACAGAAAGTGCCATGAGTTACAGTGACCCCCCTCCCCACCCCAACAGATGTTTCCTGTTTGGTGGGAGGAGAGGGGTAGGGGGGAGACTCAAGCTCCACTTTGGAGCTGATCCCTGGGAGAGAGACTGTGCGTCTGCAGCCTCTCTCCCCTAACCACCTTCCAGCTCCAGTGCTGTCTCAGAATGGGAAGAAGAAGGGGGAGTGGAAAGAGCTCTGGTGTTGGGTTCTTGTGCTGGGGTGGGGGTGGATTGTGCCCTCCCACTTCAGAGGGGCTCCAATCCACCTGCTCCCCCACTCCAGCTCAGGCTAGGTAAACCCCAGACTGTAGCTCCTTACTCTTCCCCCATCCCCCCTCCTATCCTGTAGACAGCACCACCACCATCCCTCCTCTTCCCCCATCTGCCCACCTATCCCAGCCCATCGCAGCACTGGAGAACTCAGACGGGCTGGAAGAAGCGGGAAAAATAAACTGGAGGAAGTGGGAAAAAATAAAATCCCAATCTCAAACATATTTAAACTTGTAAAGAGAAATGTCAGGGAGTCCAAGAAGCCAAAACTATCGCTGTTGATAGAAGATGCTCAGACAGTATGGTGATGGGCAGCAGTACAAAATCTTAGGATAAACTGGTGGTGATCAGGAAAACCTTATGCCTCAGTGCAGGGAGGAAATGCTCATCCAAGATGACTGTCAGCAGGACAACTTGGCATTAAAGGGAAGTACACACAGGTTGACAACAACAGCAAGCATTTGATATGTCCAGTTAAAGTATCATTTTCCATCGTAATATCCTTTAATTGACTCTGTGGTTACTTAGTGACTTTCTCTTTTATATACCAAAATATTTTAGAATCTTTTCAGTGTTTCATACAAGAACTTAGAGGCTTCTCCAGGCAGGACAGTCACATATTAAGCATAGCATTATACAAAAAAAGTTGGTAATTGTAAATGGTCTCACACAGTGAAATACTATTTACTTAACATTGCCTGGTTCAGACCTAAAGCTCCATTTTCCATCTGCTTATAGGAAGAGTGATTCTGAAGTTTAGTCAAGTGGTTAGGATGAGTATGGAGAAGACACAGCTGCAATCAAAACCTTTGATGGTTCAGCATGCTTCTGGTTTTTACAATGATACCTATGGGTCTGATTACACTCTTTCAAGTTGAACAGATGACTCCCTTCCTTGTCCATCAAATCCCATCATCCCACTGCAGAATGGTGCTGAAATGGAGAATGGTGGCATATAATACAGTATACATTTCCTTGGCGCTAGTAGTTTCTATTTAAAAGTCTAATCAAGGAAAACAAATAGGTCTGGATTCTCTCCTCTGACATAGTCCTGACAGTGCAGAAATGGGCAGAGGGTGGAGTAATTTTTCCTGAGTTCCCCAGCACTGCGACTGGCTGGGAGCTCAGCCGGGCTGGAGGAGGCACTTCCTCCAGCCCCGCCAAGTTCCCCAGCGCTGTGAGCTGTTCCTGTCAGGCCCCTGCCTTTCCATCCATACCCCTGCCATGTACCTTGTGTTAGCAATTGCACAGACACCCTTTGAGTACAGTCACTGCTGTGCACCCCTGGCTGGGACCAGAGCCACTGTGGTCCTTTCTTGCCATATTAAGGACCCAAGCAGGAACAAAGATTTCATCCTCCATTTCATTTTGAGAAAGACCTAAGTCCCTTCAATGCTAAATCCAGAAATGGCGACCAAGTTTGTTTTACAGGAATGGTGACCCTGGGAAACTACAGGCTGTCCTCTGCTAAGGACAGGAGGACTCAGGTAAGGAACAGACGATCATGTGGATAATAAACACATCCAGCATCCCAGCCATATGGATTACAGAAACAAAACAGCTGGCCCACAGATTATGAAAAGGATGAGCCTTCAGATTGTAAACCACCCTCTATGCAAGTAAGGTGAATCAGAAACACACCCAGTCCTGCCTTCAGTAGCATACCTGCCCCTTCCTCTGAAGCAGCCGGTGTTAGAAACTGCCACACAGCAGGGACAGGACTAAAGAGACCACAGCTTGTTCTGACAGCAGGTGATAAGTGAGGCAATGAGAGGGAAAGGGTGTGAGGTTTGACAACTGACTTGGCAGGATCATTTACTTTTCTTTGAAACCATCAGTAGTTTAGGGAATGTAGAAAAGGCTCTGACCTTCCTCCAAGCAGAGCTACCCTGCCCTCACAGACACACAAAAAAGAAGTGAAGTCTCACCAACTCACCAGGGCCGTGACGAACACTGTTGCCAAATTAGAGGGCACGGCATACTCAGAGTTTCAAACCCTTGTGATTCTGTTTCATAGCAGAAGTTATTCTCTACAGCTACAGCATCACGGAGGCAATGGAAACTTGGCAGATGCCAGGAAAACCAAAGGAAGCAAAACAAAACTGACCAAAAGTGGAGAAAAAAAGTCCTGGAATGCCTCAGTTTGCAGGTTAGCCATCCCCTTGCTAATAACTGTAGGTGAGATTTTTCAAAGGTCTCCCAACACATCACATCTGTTCCCAAGTGAGCAGCTGCCCTGCAAGCATGCTGCTTGCCTAGGAATGGGCATGGTGTACAGTAGCTTCTCTCCACAGTGTGGTCCCCTCCTAGCCTGGCTGATGTCACAGGAGACAGTTAATGCCTCCATCTGCACAGTCCTACTCCAGAGGCAACAGGCATGGGGTAAGGGTTAAGGACCTGACTTGCAGAGGTGCTGAGTATCAGTCGCCAGCTCCCAGATTTTGTTGTGGGTGTTCTCTGCCAGCTCTGAAACCAGGGCCTTGGAGCTTGATCCATACTGCCCCCATAGACATCTACACTTAGAAAGGCAGTGCCCAAAAATAAGGTACTTTGCCCTAGGAGGCTGATCCCAGGAGGGTGAGGCATTCTGGTTCCCTAGAGAGCTAACTGAGAAAGTTCACTGCCTCCAAGGAGTAACAGGGTGTCTAGGTCCTAAGCCAGAAGGTACCTCCAGGCACCAAGAAGAAAGGTTAGGCCCACAGGATGTGTCTGAATTCCCACTCTTCTCAGTGTTTGGGGGGCTGACTATAGCTGAGCCCTCTTCATTGCTTGGGGTCCCAGACCACCTACAGGGGAGGCACCTGACACCCACTGACAGCAGCATTCCTCTAGTTCAGTACAAAGTGCAGCACCCATGGTCATGCTCAAAGTCAGGTCACAGTTCCTGCCTTCCTCCTGCAACCCAATGAGACACCTATGAAAACAATTTGGATGTGACCTTAAGTGCATTTCTCATGCACCTCCCAGACAAGTAGCAAGGCATAAAAAATTAGACAAAAATGTTACTCTCTGATGCTAGCCTATGTTCTCTTCAGTTAGGTTATGCTGCTACAAACCTTTGGATGGAAGGAAGGTCTTACTGGTATGTAGAAGCTTTCTTCACCAGTAAGGAGCTGCCTGCACATGTTCTGCATGGTGCTCCAAAGCCACTGTGTTCCTCCTAGAATAAAAGCGGGCAATTATTTGGGCTGAAGGTCCACTTAAGGAGTTTCAGTGAGCTGTTGCAGGCGGGGGGAAGGTCAGGGGGTGGGGGTTGTTGACCAGTTGCAGCAGGGGGCAGGGGAGCATGCTAACCCAACCCAGTGTGGTGGAGTGGGGGCAAGCATTGATCCTATTTGGCCCCAGGATGCCCACCCTGCACCCACTGCCAGGTAACTCGATGGAGTGGGCAGGCAGGGTCTCCATGGAGACCAGCCTGGAACCCTCGCGGGCAGGGTGTGCTTAGTCAGGCAGACTGGATGGGGCTGCAGGTGGGCAGGGAACAGCATCCAGGAGTGGGACGGGTGGGTGAGGCCGAGATCACAGGACAGTGACATTGTGAAGCCGGGGCCCAGGGTAGAGCCTCAATCCCACTCCCCACCTGTCCCTGCAATAGGCGGGCAGGGATGTGCAAGGAGTGGATTGTGGCTCTGCCCTGGGCTCACATTGTTGCTGTTCAATCCCAGCCCCCAGCCCACCCCTGGCCCACCTCTGGCCCCATCTCATCTGCCCAGCTGAGCACACCCTGCCCGCAAGGGATCCAGCCCTATCTTCATGGAGACCCTGCCTGTTCACTCTGTCCAGTGCTCCCAGTGGTGGGTGTGGGGTGGATTGGCAGTGGTAGCCAGGCAGTGTGAGCCACCGCTGCAGAGGCTGCTGGGAAGCTGAGTGCAACCACTGCACTGCCCCTGCCCACCGTGCACCTGGAGGCAGCAGGACCAGGTGCATGTACCACAGCCAAGGATACCCCCTACTCCTGGGTTGAGCAGAGCCAAAGGACCCACTACAGACTGGATAGAATCCCTGGGCTCGCCAGATCCAACCTGAGGGCCATATTTTGCCCACCCTGATCCTAGAAGCATGTTTGTCCCTCACTGCTCTTCACAAGGTTGTCCTAGGCTGAGGAGCTGAGCCTGAGGTGGCACCGCTCATTCAGGAAGCTCACAGTCTGAGGGGACATTAAAATACAGCTCTGGAAGCCACTCTGTCCCCTGGGATATGTAGAGACATGGGGTCTGCTCCCCCCACAGACCCCATTTCTCTGTGACATCTCCAGGTTCTGGTTGCTTGGGGACTTTCTAGCATTCCTCCTCTTGCAGAGGAAGTGGCCCCATGGAGCAATTTTACACATGAAGTTACTTAATATGGCCCCTGGCAGTCAAGCACCTCATGCATTAATTAATTTATCCTCACAGCACTACGGAGGAATTATGAGACCTGGAACAGAGGCATGAAGAAATTAAGCGAGTCCCCCAAAGTCCAGAGGGAGGCCCTGGTGGAGCTGGTATTTTAACCCAGATTGCCAAGCCCCCAAACCATCCTAATTTGTTAGTGCTGGCAGGAAAGCAAGGGAGACAATTAATGTAGCATAATGAAAAGAGAGAGAAGGATTTAGGGCATGTTGCAATGCTGAGGCTAAGAGCGCAACATCAAATGCATTACAGAATAATGTCTGCTCAGTTGTAACAGCTTTGTAATGAAAATGCAAACAACCTGCTACGAAAAAGTAATATGCAGTGTAGAGAATTATGGCAGGAAAAATCCTTGAAGTTGGAAACATGATGTGCAACTAATGTGATGGGAGTGTATGCTGCAGTTGTTTTTATCAGCTGAGAGTTACATTTACAGCACTACAGGCGAAAGTATGCACTGAAAAAGAACTGCAGTGTAGATCTTGATGTCTGATTCAAAGCCCATCAAAGCCAAGGGGAGTCTTTCTCCATTTCCTTCCATGGGTTTGGGTCAGGGCTTGTGTATTTGACCCTTGGCCAAGTCCAAGGCCCAAGTTTAGGTGGTTTTTCTGGCTAGCAGGGGTAAGGCCCACAAGGGAGTGATGTGGTGGATAGGGCTAAGAGCCTTCACCCCTGGTATGGCAGCAATTCCACCCCTGATAGATCCAGCAGGGCCTGATTGCCCAGAGATGACCAAGCTCCAGGAGATAAGCCCAGCATAAACCAGAAGCCTACTGGTTGCTCAGCACTTTGCAAGCGTTCAATAGTGCTTGGTTCCTGGCTGCCTCCTTGTTTTGTTTCTCTGTTTCCTGCCTCCGCTTACTCCCCAGTTACTGACCCTTGGCTACTGAATGTGCCATTGTAGCTGGCTCTGGCTCTTGACCCTTTGGTTGGCATGAAGGTGATTTTTCTGACCTCTGTTATCCAAATTCCTGTCTCTGGTTCACTTCCCTTTCTTGGGAACTCCTGGCCTCTCCTTGCTTAGAACATGATATTGCCTGCAAAGCCTTCTAGGTTTGTGCTCTGGCCCTAACCATTAGGGTAGGCCATCCATGCCTCAGTTCTTAAAAGGGTCCAGCTAAATTTCTGTCCACCTTTGACTCCCTAGCTGAATGACCGGGTACCCATTCAGTGCTGGGCCATATGGGGGTAGCCCTCAGTACCAGTCCAGGACAACACTCAAAACTCATGCTCTCTGGAACTGCAGCAACATACCACAGCAGCTCTGCTGCCGTACCCGTACTTGAAGGAGGCTTTATGTGTGCTATGCTCAGCTGTTACGCCCCACAGAAGCAGGCCCGACCTACCTTTGATTCAGGGTTCCAGCAGCTGAATTCCAACACTGCTAACATGATGCAAGGCAATCCTATAAGACAAGGAAAATGGGGTTATATTAACAAGAAAGGAAGCATTAGCCTTTCAGGCAGGTTTTAAATGCAGTGATCTACTGTCCAGCACTCTGCAACCTTGGTGCAAACCAAGCAGAGTAAGATACCAGCAGCAGATCTGACTAGCAATGCTTGACATCGGCTGTACACAGATGTGCCAGGTGCAGATCATTGGAGAATCTGCCCAAGAGAGTTCTCCTAGAAACCAAAACCTGCCCCATCACTAAACCTTCACTGCAAAGAAATGGAAAATTACTCACTCAGGTTAAAGTATCAGAAAACATATGGCACATTCAAGGCAATAAGAGACCAGAGGGCTGCCTCAAGTCTAAAATACAAGTTAAAACCTAGGTTGTTGTGTTCTCGTGGTTAACTTGAATTAAGAATGAACCACACTCTTCTCTCTGGATCAGCGCCGAATCTCCAATTCTGATTCGGCCAGATCGAATGGAGACAGTGATTTGAACCACTGAGTCGAATCACCGTCCTCTGAATCGGCCAAATCCAAATTGAATACTTCCCTATTTGCACAGGCCTAGTAGAGACTGCCACACCCCTTTAATAGATGCAGAATATCCCTCCCCCCATCTGTTGTTAACACTTACAAAGAATTTTTGTTTCACGTTTGTTTGATGCAGTCCTCTCAGGCAGTGCCTTGGGAACACCCTTCAGTGCAAGGGGCCCAATGATCTCATGGTGCTTTTGATAGCTGGCACTGTGCAGGGTGAGACCACACAACCCTCTTCCCTTTTGCCTCCACAGCAGAACCATGTACCTCCCCATTCAGCCGCATCTGTCCTCCCTCAGGTCTCACCCATCACCCTGTTGCTTTCTGATCCAATGAGTATTTAGGATGGCAGCTCCAGCAAGAGAGAGAGAAAAACAAGAACAGCCAGACTCTGCAGTGATTATGGAATTCTTCATGGATGTGGGAGACCCCCACTGCAGTGACAACTGACTGATAAACAGCAGGGGTGGCCAATGTGCAGCATGCATCATCGGTATAGGAGCCACGAGTGACACAGGCAGCCGCCATGTGGGGTATGTGGCAGATCAGGAAGGGGACAGGCAGAACAGTGGCATATATAGGTTTCCCTTGATTTACGCTGTACTTGCATTCCCAGAGAATGGCACATAAATCGAATTTGCATAAAGCTAATCCACTTTACAATGTAACAAATAGGGATAGGTACTTATGGCGGGGAGGGAGGGAGGCTGGGACTAGGGAAGGGGCAGTGGGAGGGGCGCCGCTCCCGGGGCTGCACAGGGCAGCAAAGCAGAGGGAACAGAGCGGCACTCACCCCAGCCCCAGCTGCAGCGGCCCAAGGAGAGGCCAGCACCAGCTGCCTCTAGCTGCTGGGCTGCACCGTGCTCTACCTGTCCTCACTCACCTCTGCTCCTGGGCTGCACCGTGCCCTGGTGCAGGCAGCTGGTGTTGGCTGCTCCCAGCACCACTGCAACTGGGGCTGGAGTGATTGGGGCCATGGTCCTTCCCCCCCCCCCACAGACTTACCTGCTTGGGTGGGGGGGGCATCTCTGCTGATTGCATGAGTGAATTTCCCTTGCATATAAGAATTATGGGTCTAAATATGCTTATCGCATAAAAGCGAATTCGCATATAAAGAACCCGCATAAATTGAGGTAAACCTGTACAGCACTAAGCAGAGAGCAGGGCATCAGGCAGGGAAAAGGGATTGGAGTCGCACTGGGGGAGGTTGTGAGTCTAATTTGTAGCATGCCTGCCAAATGCATTTTCCTCCACTGATATACACAGCAAGACAGGCCCAGCAGTTCAGACAAGTTCCTCAGTGCACAATACCCACTAGCAGCCTGGCAGTGCACACAGTGGGATGTGGAAGACTGTGGCCTAAAAGTCCCTGGCATGAATCAGGAAGAGCAAAGACATCAAGACAGGTGTCCCCCTTTCATCAGGCTTTGGGCTCTGCTGGGGAGGAGGAAACTTCCCCTGGGGTTCTGAGCAGAAATCCCAGCCTTACTGAAATGGGCACAATCAAGCCCACAGAAGTTTCAATTTCAACAAATTGATGGCTTTCACTGAAAATCTTTTAACTGGAAAATTCCCAACAAGCTCCAACTGACAAGAGGAACCACAGCCCTGATGTTAAAGCATGACAGGTGATTTTGGGTGCCTCTGTTGCTTGGTGAAGCACCTTCCTGGGACCAGATTTTCAGGAAGTGCTAAACTTCCACTCGGACCACAAGACTGCATGAAGCATTTCAAACTGTGCAACTGGAAATTGAGGCAGCTGAAATCACTGGCAACATGCAACTCAGACACACCCCACTAGCTGAATCATACCTGCTGCCTGCTCACTGCAAGG